TTTTTTTTAAAGAGAGGCCTCATGGTTTTCATGATAATGGATTCCTTTCTTTTTCCCCCAAAAAAAAAAAGAAAAAAAAAGAAAAGAAAATTTCTTTTACCAATTCCCAAAAGGCGAAAGAGAATTTGCGACGGCCAAAAGAGAAATTGCCACCACCTCTCGAGGTGGTAGCAAAATGCCCATCCCCGCGGCCCCCCCAGGCCGCTGACAAATGCTACCCCGTTTGCAATTTTGGTGGTCGGAAAACCCTAGTGTGACTCTAACAGCATAGCAGGTTTTGCGATTTAGCAAAAAAACCCGCTAGTGTGAGTATGCCCTTACTCTAGACGCCAGGGGCAAGGTCCCACTTGCACGGATTAAGAGATTCTGGCGGTTGATCTTTGCTATCTACGGTCAATATCGCTTTATTCGTGTAAGTGGGACCTAGCCCCAGGTCTGGAATTCGGGTTCTTCAGCTGTCAGTATCTTCCGTATTTTACACGGGAAGATGCACTGCCATTTTTTTTTGTCTATTGTGCTGTGGTGAGTAACGGAGCGAGGCGCAATGCGGCTGTGCCAGGGTTCTCCTCTCCCTCGGCTGTCCCAGGGTTCTCCCCTCCCTCGAATCTACTTGGCGCACACTACAAAGCTCCGACCCTCGACTTTTTCCCGCCGCCTGATCGCGGTACCGCGCTCTTCCGACGATATTCCGCGACCTGAAATGCCCGATCCCGCAATTTTCCGCCAGTGTCAGACGACGGCGCCCGCCTTTCTGCGCCCATAGTCGGTGCCTCCGCCGACTACTTTTCCCGGCCTCTTCCCAGTAACGAAACACGAAAGAGCAAAGGGCGTGCCAACGAGCAAGCGAGCAAAGCAAGCGAGCGAGCGAGCGAGCGAGAGAGAGAGAGAGAGAGAAATACTTGGAAATAGCAAATCTCTCTCACACACGCACACACACAGGGGGGAGAGAGAGAGAGAGAGAGAAAGAGAGAGAGTTGTGAATAGCAAATCGCTATGGCGGACGACTACGATGGCGACGATGCCGGCGATGTTGGGTAAGTAAAGCGGAGAGATAGTAGTGGACACTAAAGAAGATTTGGGAGGAGAGAATGCAACAGAAGGAACCCTGTTTTGTCTTTGTCTTGCCTTTCGTTCAACTTCATCATGTCCATGTCACGACCCTCGTATTCTGCCTTTGTGCGTGCTTGGTTGGTTGCTTGGTTGGTTGGTTGGTTGGTTGGTTGCTTGCTTGCTTTACCGTTTGTGCAATCAGTGTTCCAATCAGTGTTGCAATCAGGTGTATGGTTGAGTCGTTGTGAACCATCAATGAGAACCGGTGGATCGATTATCTAGTGTAAAATCAGTTATCCAATCAGTGAGCACAACATGTCAAGCAACCAACCAAAAGAATTCCCGGTCCATTGTGCAATTGATCGGATATAAAATAAGTAACATGAGTGGAGGGCAATACGTAAAAGATCGGTGCATCATCTACGCGTGCATCCATCCGTTTGTCCGTTTGTCCGTTTGTTCGTTCGTTCATGAATCAATCAGCGAAGCGTTCGCTACTGGCCTGTCACGCGATAGATCCGACGATCAGTACCATCTTCACCCGAATAGAACGCCCGGTCATTAAAGCTGTATTTGGCACAACTTTCAGCCCAGATGCAGCAGGGATAATGAGCGGGCGTTCTATTCGGGTGAAGACGGTAGGAAATGGGCAGGGGACTGAACACGTGATAATGTTACGTCTGCATGGCCGAGTGATGGTGGTCAATCAATCAATCAATCAATCAATCAATCAATCAATTAATCAATCAATCAATCAATCAACTAGACAGGCAAATTGACAAACGATCAACCAAACAAGCAACCAACCACTCCATCAATCGATTAATCAGCCAAAGCGAATCAACCAATCAACCAATCAACCAATCAATCAATCAATCAATCAATCAATCAATCAATCAACCAGTCAATCAATCAATATCAATCAACCAACATGCATCAATTAATTCATTCATTCATTCAAACAGGCAAAGAGAACCAACAAATGAATGAATGAATGAATGAATCAAGTAGGCAAAGAGAGCCAACAGCTATACCAATCAATTAGTGAATGAATCAATCCATTAATTAATCAACAATCGATCGAACATGCACAAAGAGAACCAATCGATCGAAAAAATACCGAAGAAACAAGCAAACAAGCGAGCATTCTGACGACGGAGCAGTAAATCGAATTGAATTGGTGAGTGCATGAATGCGTGAAGACGATTAGACATCAGCCCGCGCATTCGTACAGTAGTAGTGTGATGTACACAATGAGAATGAATCTTTCGGTAGAACAGGGAGAGATACACCCTCTTCGCCTCGCCCGAATACAACGCACCGTCATCATGACTGTAGCAGACCATAAAGGGGTTGCCTTCGTACCTCCATGATGAGGGTGCGTTGTATTCAGGTGAATACGATATCCGAGATCTGCGGAGCCGGTGTGTGAGGACATTTTACTCACCTTGCGTTCTAAGAAACCCATGTCAAGACATGTGAGGGGAGCAGCTCCTTCCCCTCAGCTGCATCCATCCATTTATCCATCCATCCATCTATCCATCTATCTATCCATCTATCGATCTATCTATCCATCTATCCATCCATCTATCCATCCTATCCTATCCTATCCTCTATCCTACCCTATCCTGTTCTATCCAATCCTATCCTATCCTATCGTGTCCAATCCTATCCGATCCGATTCTACTCTATCCTATCCTATCCTGTCCAATCCTATCTGATCCGATTCTACTCTATCCTATCCTATCCTATCCTATCCTATCCTATCCTATCCTATCCAACTACCAGTACACACGGGGCTCCAGGCACCTTACTGCGCGCCAAGCTTTTCGGAACCGCCAGCGGTGCACTTTTTGTCTTTTTTTGCTGGCGTTGCCTAGAATAGGATCCGATGCTATCCTATCCTATCCTATCTTATCCTATCCTATCGTATTCTATCCTATCCTATCCTATCCTATCCTATCCAGTTGGCCGAGCCATTGCTACAGTGCGGTGGCGACGAATTGCTCTTTCTGCAAGGCTGGGCCCGCGCACTGGCGGTTTAACAAGTTTATCCTATCCTATCCTATCCTATTCTATTGTATCTTATCCTATCTTATTCTATCCTATCCCATCCGTTCAACCCACCCAACCCATCAAGAAGTTATGAACCCCGTTTTTTCCACTTATTCACATGGCTTCAGACCGGGCCGTAATGCTCCCGCGACCCTTAATAATAATGTTATAATACTTATTGGTACCTTCCATGGTTCCCATCCGTTCGTCCCATCTGTCCCATCCCTCGATTCGTCCCATCTGTCCCATCCATCCATTCGATCCATCCATATATATACCGTTAACTGCACAGAGGCATCCATCGGCGTGTCAGGGGCCTCAGCTAGCAATCAGTCGGTTAATCAGTCAGACAAGGCGAAAGAATCAACGGATCAGGAAGTCGATCGATCACTGGAATCCTGCACTTGGTCTGCTATGAACTCATTGTGTAGCCTCTTTCTTTCTTTTTTTTTTTTTTTTTTTTGTTGTAAACCGGAAATAGTGTAGCCTTTTCTTTTTCTCGATTGGAAGTCTTGATGAGTGATTGACGTTAATCTCCGGATGGTGTGGGTCTCGGTTTCGGTGGTCCCCCCCGTTGTTTATCTTATCTTGGCGCTCTTGCAGGTACGATGAGGAACCTGACACAATGATTGAAGAGGTGGGTGGGTGGATCATAACACGTCCTCTTTCCCCCCTTTTCCCC